TATTTTACCAAACAAACTACACAGTGGTTTTACTTACACTAAGGCCTACCTAAGTTTAAAATATTAGCAAAATCAAATTTTCGACCCTTGCCGCGGATTTGCAAAAATGTCTGATTTTTGCTGACAACCCCTCTTAACTTTTATGAAAACATTGAAATGTCTATCCAGGGTTTTCATACAGTTCATCCAATCACAAGGCTCAGAAATATTAATAGGCAGGACGTTATTACGTCAGATCCTAACAAAGGGAGCCCAAACTCAGCTCAAGCCGATTTTTTTCGGGGACGGTCAAATCTGCAAATGCCATGCATACCTTTAGTTCATCTTTCTTGTCGGCTCTTCGTGCAAACAGAAGTCCAATGAAGTACAAGATGAAAATTGTCATCACGGTTGTCATAACGACGAAATCTTCGATTTTAGGGTTCTTTAGCGTTAGCAGAACTCTGTCAAAGTCGATTGGGTTTGGTTCGATGAAGAAGTCTCCACCAAAAGCTGAGAGATGGTTACATAGACATTGAATTGTGCCCTTGTTTGTGGATGGACCCGGCTGTGTAGTAATAAATATATAATAGATTAATGAGATCAATTTAGTTTAACTAAAGTGAATGAGATTAATAGCTTATTTGTTTCAAAGACTTCATATAATTCTATTGAACCCTGAAACAACTTTTGGCCTTGTCAAAGTCAGAGCACAACTAACTCACAGATTGAACTCTGAAACAACCTCTGCAATGATCAGAGTCAGGGCACGGCTAACTCACAGATTGATCTCTGAAACACCTTCTGCAATGATCAAAGTGACTGTTCGAACTGGAATTCTGCGAGATATTTCTGAAGACAGAGGTAAACCAGCAGATAACCCAGAGAATATATATATATATATACACAGCCATTTGCAAAAATTATGGCCGTTTCAAATATAAATACAAGCATATCGAAAGTATATCAAACAGGGCGGGGTGTCTTTCTTGATATTTGTTTCAGAAAGCCCTAGTGATAGACAACTCGAAAAAAATATAAGGGAGGCTATCCCATAGTTTTTGATATATTTTTGATATACTTGTATATATATTGGAAGCGGCCATAATTTTTGCAAATGGCTGTGTATGTATATATATATATATACACCACTTGCAATATTCACCCCTTGCAATACAGACCACTTGAAATATAGATCCATTGCAATGTGCGCCCCTTGCATATAGACCCCTTGCAATATACACCACTTGCAATATACACCCCTTGCACTAATTCCCAATCTGAAGAATGTGTTTTTACCTTGCATCCATAGTCACTCCATTTCTGCTCCTTCTCAGACCAGTACATACAAGATGCCAGTGAAATGGACATAGTATAGTTAGCATCAGTAGTTGCGTTATAATCAGGAATAACCACCATGGTCGGGATAGGTACAGTAGGAGGATCCTTCACGCCAACACAGGATCTTTTCTTTCTCCTTCCTGGTCCACAATCTCTTCTATTCCTATGATGAATCTCTTCTTCCTCCTGCTTTGGCGTTTCGGAGTCCAGATACCTGATTCCAACAAAATGGTTACCAGTTTTTCCAGTTATTGTACTGGAAACATTGAACATATAGGGATCCATTGTGCAATTGACGTAACTCGTACTTTCATTTTTGTATGTCTTTTGGCAGGCCGAAAAGTCCGGGATGATCGTCGTAAAGTTGTAATCCCATGGCGTTGGTCGTACTCCCGCGCTTACATACACCTGAAAGTGTCTGTCATTTTCTGGTTTGATCTTTATCATCGCAGTAGAATGGCTGTAGAGGATGTTAAAGCTATGGTAGCGCATTCTAGATGCATCTGATGAGTTTTCTGTTGGCTTGACGAAGTTTGGTTGATCTTTGGGTAGCGTCTCTGGCGAGTCTTCTGGTAAATATATACCCACTGGGTTCTTGAGGTTAGAGATCTCAAGGTGATTACCCGTGTCATTGTAGAGATTAATATCGACGGCCCACGAGTTGATGTATGTGGTAGATTTGTCCCAGAGAAAGGGGTTATTAGAGAACATGATGATCTGAGGATGAAAATCAGAATAATTGCTCGCGTGTGTTTCTGTCCATCTGTCTGTCTGTCTGTCTGTGTTTCTGTCTGACTACTTTTTAACTTGCTCGTTCCTTTGTTTCTTTTCCGGTTAAACTGACCGTAAGGCTAAGAAATTRGCATCAATAGTCACCAACATCTGGCAGTCTTCACACTGCATTTTTCCACCAGCTGCTCCCTGACATAATCCCTTTTAGTAAGCCCCACCTACCTTTGACTTTACAGAAGACAGCTGGCTCCCATTTTTCCCATCAAATATGCCCCCGAACGAAGGAAAGGTCACCTTCCTACTCCCCGACTGAATGAGAGAACCAGACATCTCTCTCAGCATGGAGGGAGAATTGTTAGAAATGATTAGAGATATAGACTTCGTGCTAAAGACACTCAGGTTTTCATCCACTGTTTTTGTAGCCAGTAGCRTGGTTCCGAGACTTCGTAACTGCTTCAAAGCCTCCTCAGTGTATTGCTTGCTCTAAACACAACAAAATCGTGTCATGCAAAATGCGAGGCTAACGGGAAATAAATAAAATAAAAAACACCTTTTTTGATGAATTTGTGGTGTTTCTTTTGTATGTAACGTTTAGCCTCGCGCTCAAACAATATTAGGGGATATATTTAATACAATATATCTTCCGTTGAGCATCTTTGCATTATATATAATTTAAATTATACTTAATTATAGAAGCAATAGGTTGAAACGTATAGGTCTAGTACTGTTTTTCCATTTCAGGCCAGTTCGTTACCTTTATTGCCCTTGGAAGAAACAAATGGAAGACTGGGTTCTAATCTGCCCGAGGGAGACTGGGTAGAGCATTTTGGTAGACAAGAATCGAATACAATAGAACTTTTTCATCTTTTTAAAATACCGCGGTTTTCATTTACTAGGCGTTTTCACGAGTTGCAGTCTTTTGCTTTACTGTGTTATATTTATTTACCCAAACTAAGTCAGAATGAACTTTGTTATACATGTGATAGTGATTATTTATATCACCATTAATACCTTTCTCATCTGTTCCTGCGCTAACATTGACATATCAGGATAGAAGCGCATTGAAGCTGCAAAGGTCCGCAGGAGATTCCCGATGCCGGCAAAGTAGTTAGTCGTGATGCTCTGTTTGAGTTCCGTCATAGTACTGTCGCTACGGATCTTTGAGGCAATGAAGTCTTTGACCTTATCCAGCATTTTGAGCGCCTTACTCTGGAATACAAAACAAGAAATTTTGAACGAAAATCTCCGTAATTCAATCCTTTTCGGTCGATTTATGCGTAGGTCCGTCCATCCGTCCGTGTACTAGAACTGCGCGCGCAAGCAAATTGTGGGGTTAGATTTCTAGTGTCAGCAAGGTCTCTGCCTTGATGACACTAGAGAAAAACGTTTGCGCATGTGTGCATTTAAGGACGTTCTCTCAGAATTTTGAAGAGTTTGAGTTAGAAAATAAAATGTTTGTTTTCTCAAAGTCTACAAAAAAGTTCGAGAGTATACTTTTGTCAGATCAAGATAATGTCTTAACAAACACAATATGAAAGAATTAGCCTTAAGTTTCTAGCATGGACACTAAGTTTTGGCATTTTGTGAAGTGCAATTTATTAGGCATGTTTGAAAGTCAAATTTACTTATGTTTTGACTAATTTGCATACGGATTCAGAGCATGCGCAGACGTTTTTCACTCGTGTCTGCCTTGATAATAATTTTTTTCTCTGAAGATGGATTCTCCGGTTTTCCTTTTGTAAAATCTAAAAAGCTAAATTTCAATTCGATCTGTGAGTTAGCCGAGCCCTGACTTTGTCAGCCTAGAGGTTGTTCGGGGTATTAGGTATTATATTTGAATGTTTTGTTACCTTGACGTCGTCAGATGTTTCATCTTTTTCCCCAGTTGCCAAATTAACCACAGTCAGGACTTGGGTCGCTCCTTGCCAGTCTAACACCGGGTGTCCTTCGATCTGCTTGATGATTTCGTCCTTCAACTTTGAACCAAACATAAGAAGAAATAATCAATCATAAAATTACAGAATTACACTTTTTAAAACGTCATGGAAATTCAATTTGCTTCTCAGTCCTCAGTCCTTTGACGCTAACTAACTGCTCCTAAATGTATTGATAAGACCCTGACTTTATTCATTTAAGGGTACGTAGTAATTGGCCTTACCTGTTGCGGTTTTCCTGCCTTAAAACATGTATTTATACTTGTATATTTTTTTTAATCGTATTTTGAACTCGTGGCAAAGTTAGATTTAAAAAAATAAAAAATAATACACAGGGTACACCTACACAATACCCCTCCCTCTCGTTCATCTTAAAAATGCAGTTAATGATATTGCATCTTCTTAAAAGCAAAATAATTTAATWTTTTTTTTCAGGCGAGGACGTAGACCCTGCAAAAAACAGGCACCGTACAAYAATGCTGTGCAAGCACTGATTTTTTTTTGTTTTCGACTTTTTCTTGCGACTTTATTTGGTGATGGTGGTGGGGAATGGGAGTTCTTCCGATGACTGTTACCTTTCTTGCTGTTTCTTTGTTCACTCCAAGCTTTTTCCGAAGATCATTTTCCTTATCGCCATCGTGTGTTTTGTCCACTAGTGACAGCACGGCGATCGATAGTATTCGTTTCTGTTCCATGTTGTCTTGCTTGGTCAACTCATTGTCTTTTTCGTCCACTATGCCATGTAAAATTATAGCGAAATCATTGAGGTCCACTTCATTCACCTGTGGATAGTAGTGCAAACGTCTTGCATTACTGAAGAAATATAAAACGCGCGCTCGTGCTGTGTGTAGACATAAAGCACGGGGGTTGGCAGAACACAAGAGAAGTGTTAGGAGAAGTACGAGGCGTAGCTGATGCCAATGAGCAGATCTGTTTCTTACATTTATATTCAATTTTCGAATCCTCTGTTGCTCAGGGCTAGCCATATTCATGTGTCCAAATAGAGATACGCGGAATTTCAATTTTTATTTTTAAAGCTGTGTATTCTTCACTTTACCGTTGGTATTTTTGAATATTCAGACACTAAAATTAGGCTAATCCTGAGTAAATGTGTCTTGATCGAAGACCACAGCGGAATTCAAAGACGTTCTAATATGATCTGTACCTTTGCTCGGAGAGTAACCTTGGTAAAATCTCCAGAAAGGTCATGAACTCTCACTTCGATGGGAATAGAGAAGTTATCACTCCCCACGCCTATCGGGAGCCTTGCCGTGACGTTGGACGAAGAGCCGCTACTTATAATAACGATATTATTGGACCGCTTGTACCGATACTCGAAGGATAGTTTATCATCCTCGTCATGCCATTTGCCACAATTGATATTGAACGCTGTGGACTTCGCCTTTCCTATTTCTGGTAAGATACGGCATTTTGGGTTTGAGAGCGAAAATGGAGGTGCGTTTAGCTTCAAAACCATTTCGTCCTCTTCTTCTATTTTGTAATTGTTTACGGTCAGCTTGATCAMAGACCTGATTTTAATTCGAAAATCTCTTTCATTAGCACCAAGTTTCTGGAGATCCGTCATTATCAAGCTACTCACGTCGGTAAACCCTTCAGTGTAAGGAACTACACTCTTTGTCTTGTGCCACATCGACCCGTTGAGGAAGCTCCGGGTCTCTTTGAACAGAATCCAATTGTAGCTTGAAATTGTAAGGCATTCTTTAGCGATGCATGTGGTCGATAAGAAAACTTTCTTTGACCGGCTGATTTTGCCACCGCGCACGCAGTTTTTTGAGCACCTGATATAAAAGAGAGAAATAAAGGTTTCATCGCTGCTTTGTTATTTAAATCAGGCTAGATTAGTACCGTAGTTAAGGAAGGAGAGGGAGGGAAGGGAGGGGAGAGACGGGCGAGGGAGCGATCCTCCATACTCCTAAAATTGCGGTTTCTGTGCAAGATTCAAAGTAAAATGGAAATCAAACTTCCAATAATAAAATGAATCTTTGGATATTGATAGCAACGCACGAGCTGGTTTGACTAAAGTTAATATACCTTTTACTGATACGGCGTCCATCTTGATTTATGGGATGCCGAGGAAGCAAACGTTGTAAAGTTGTTAGACATAGAGTGGCGGGGTTACGTTTTCAAAGTAATTGTTCCAACTCCTTCAGTATACCAGCAAATTCAATTGCTTGTTAGATGTGCTTCTCATTGAAAAGCGTTAAATTCTATGAAAAGACACCCTGACAGGTGTACAGTCTTTGAATTCTCTATAGTTATCCCCTCAGCATCCCATAATGTCTAATTTATTTATTTATCTATTCTTTTAACAGCTTTATTGGGAAACTAATATTACAATATTGTGTTGAATAGAAAAAATAATAATAGTTACCCATAAAGGAAAGTCACGAACGGGACACGAGACCCATGCGAGGTGACCACCTCATGAAATGTTCAAATAATTAGACGTAAAAATATATGCAAAGAATATAACATTCCGCGTAAAAATAAAAAACAAGAAAGGAAAAATAAGTTCATTAAGATAAAACTAGTGTACTTTATGAGGTTAACCTTTATGACAGGGACATTCTCGAAAAGCAGACCAGGTACAAGACCTTTCAATATCAAAAACAGAATCAAGTAAAGAAAAGTAATGTACTGAAATGTGGTTTTAGCTATACTAGAAAAACATGTAGAAGGAGAAGATTTACAAATGGAATTCCAAAGTTTAACGATGCGATTAAAATATGAGGCCTGAAAAGTATTAGAGTTACAGAAAGGAACMTTGAGCATCAATCTAGGATTAAGACAGTTACGTATATTACTATGCTTACTAAAGACGACAAAGTCACTAATGTTAAATTCAATATGTCCATAAAGAGCTTTATAGAAGAATATTTAAGTCTTTGAATTCGCTGTCGTATTAAAGGAGTAAAATTTCAAGATGGCTGCCGTATCGATAAAAAGGTATATCACAATTCATCTTACCTTATCCTGAAGAAGACAGAAGGTTCAAGCTTTAGTGTATGGTACACCGTGGATCGTCTTCTTCCTTTCGTCACAGTTAGAGTAAAAATATACTTGTGTCTTGATTTCATCCGATTAACGTTGACTTTAAGTTTAGGTTCTTTTGTTGACAACCGACCAGGACCAAAACCAAAGCATCCATCATCACTATRTGGCCTTCCGAATGGTACATCAGCTGGCATTGACCTCATGAATTTTGTCTTATAGCGATATTGATTAAGGTATTGAGCTCTACGTCGTGCGGAGTACTGCGCATGCGTGAAATCGTCATCTCTCTTACAAAACCACGTGAAGGTCATTGTTTCATTTTTGGAACTTTCTGTAATGTCTGGATCATAGGAATTAGAGCCGTCTAAAATAATAACTCCTTCGCCCTTTTTTACTTTGGTAGGCCCGGTCAGGTTTACCTGCAGGGGTGGAAGGTCTATCTGTACTATTCCATAATCATACGAGGATACTTCAATCTTCTCGGTGTTCGCAACAAACCGAACAAACATCAGCGTTGGAGGAAACTGATTTGGCTTTAGTGTGATACTATCGCCATCACCCAGCTGATGGTCCAAACGGGTGAACTTGTTGCCCTCTTTGTAGAGAGCAGATAGTTCCCATTTCATTTTGGTTTTTCTGTAGACTTTGCAGCCTAATTTTGTGACGTCTCCTTTCACTGTGAGGTTGTCTACTGTAGTGATTCGCTTGACTTGACTGAGGTTTTTGTTCAGGTTGATTTGGACATTTGGTGATGAGCATTTGTCATTCTTGTCAACTGTAAAGAAATGAAGAACTTCCGTTGAATTTCATTCAAAGCAAATGAACTCTACTTTCATTTACTCTTGTGAAAGTTCGAAATAACGGACGAACGAGCAAACTGATGGTTAAACGAACGGTTAAACGAACAACTAATTAACTAACTAACTAACTAACTAACAAATAAAGAAATTTTTGAAGGAAAGAAAGGAAACAAAAAAAGCTGATGAATGATGAGTTTGATCACAAACAAACAATCATTAGTGCGATCTCTATATATATTTTTCGACTGCTTGCTTCTGATTGCATAAAAAATTTCTTTATAAGTGCAATACATACGAGGATGATGGAATAGAAGATGGCTTGGGTTGAGAAACACTTTATGTTCCTGAATTCTGAACTGCAACATTTGTTCAAGGTATTTGGTGGTGTTTTCAATGCACTGGATTTCAACTTCTGCTTCAGTCTGATGAAATGGGTCCTTTTCCAAATCCCATGTGGGGCTAGAAATATAATTTTGCATTGTTATAACATGAGCAGGGGAATAAAGTCAGGTAAGTGTTTTATCACAGCTCGATTTGTCATCTTTCCGTAATRACTTCAATTTGAATGAGTGGAAACTTATTATTAATTATATCATAAATATTATCAATTATTCACTTAAGAGGCAAAACCCTCGAAAAAAGTTAAGGTTTAAAGGTTTTTATAGTTACTTGTAAACCGCAGGAAGTGTTTGCTAAATTCTCCAGAGCCAGCGGCTCCTGTGTTAAGCTTTCGAAAGTGCGTCCTTTGCCCCCTCAAACTATCAGTGCTCTCCCTGGCCTCACGGGTATTTACAGGTAAAGCTACACTTCAACAGAYACAGTAAAACCCCGCGTGTAAGAACCTAGATTTTTCCAAGTCAGCCTGAACGGGTTCTTATATAAATGGTGCTTAACTTGAAATCAGGCTATCTAGGTTCTTAAATGGGTTTTTATTTTTGGTAAGAAAAAGAGTACTTGTATTGGTGAGCGTGGTATTTTATACATTAAGTAAATCATTAAATAAAATACTGTACTAAATAAAAACTGTTAGGTAGTAACTATTTAGATCTTATTTCATGGACACTGTGTAAGCACTCTAACATACAGAGTGCTGTATTTTATTATTTGCAAGAAAATAAATAGAGGATATTACATAGGCGCGCGGAGATACGAAATTTATCTTCGAGYGTTGAAAAGATCTCTCACAAGTGAGCGCAGCGAACGAGTGAGAGATTTTCAACACGAGAAGATAAATTTCGTATCTCCAAGCGCTCATGTAATATTCTGTTTATTATATAATTATCAATGAAGTATGTTTTGGCTTTTTCAGGCAATTCTTACCGTGTATTTTTGAATAGCCATCGCAATGGTGTTATCTTCACACGTGAAAATAACATGTTATTTTCACGTGTGAAGATATCAATTTTTCGAAATAGAGAAAAATAGATATTTCATTGGTAATTATATAATAAAATAGATTAACTTTATATTTGGAAATTAAGAACTTACTTTGAAATTGCAGTCTGAAATGGTTCTTATGTGAAGGATGCTTAAAATRAAAATTTCTTAACTTTTAGGTTCTTACACGCGGGGTTTTACTGTAGAAGTCGAAACATATACGTGGAGATATGCATAGGAGCATTGGAACTATTGTTCTTGGAACATTTATTAAATCAAACCGAAATATAATGCACTTAGGATTCAGAATTTTTTCGACATCAATAGTGACCTGATCCAGTCACACCCAACCCCCAGGTAATCCTAGTTTACAGTCTCAATCCACTCAACTTGAGATTATTACTTACTTGAAACGAATAACCTTGGCAGATAGGAATCCCGGGATGTCCCTCAGGAGATGATTTATCTTAGAAAAATTAAAAATAAATTACTCACTATCTATCCAACCACMGTCTGTCCCCTCAACATCTTATAGAACTATTAAGGGCACGTATATGGGGGCACCCGATGGTCAGTTAAGGTGAGTGCAGGGGCGGATCCAGGATTTTTCAAAGGGGGGTTCCGTTTCTTAAACTGCGTATAATTCTCTTTTGTTTAGTCGATGTTTGACAAAAAAA